GAAGACCCTCGAGCTGGACAACTAAGTGTGGTCCTCCGAGAGGAGGGGAAGATGATGGTCAGCATCATAATCGACCCAATAAAGCCTGTTGGCCCCCAGGAGGTCGTGAAGGAGCAGATTGCATGCAACGTAACAAATCAATAAAGACAGATGTGTTCAGTTCGTACGGTGGTTGCAGGAGTACACAACTACGTACCAGATGCTCGTCAAGCTGCGACCTGATGGTCGCGGCCCACCCAAGGCGAACAAGCCCAATGCTGGTACAGCACGTGCCGGTGGAGGGACGTCGAAGGCTAATGCAGCGTCGCCACGTGGCGCACCGGTGGGGGAAGGTACGCCTCCGGGGGGGTTGCTTAAAGTGCGGCTCGTTGGACCAACTCGTCCGTAGTTTCCTTCACGCAAGCCCCGAAGAGGCTTCGGAAGTCCTTCCTGCGAGTAGAGGCGGTGGACGTGGTAATGGAGTCGAGAGGGGTGGCGACACCGGGAGCAAAGCCCCTGGTAGTGCGGCAAACCGCGGGGCCGGAATCGACGGTGGTCGGGGTCAATCACGAATGCAAGTAAATACCATCAAGGCCCCGATCGCATCGGCTTGGACCTCGAGGATCGATTGTGTGGTCGAAGGTATTATACCCCTGAAAGCAACCCTGTTCGACTCTGGATCGGACACGTTTGTGGCCTCGGTGGGTCTGGCCTCGGCACTGTTGGCTGCCGGAGTTAGTGTGGTACGCGATGCCGTGCGTCCGACAGAGCTAGCACCCTATTGCGCTGGAGCTCCGACAAGCCGCCATCTGGGACCTGGACACTCTAGATCCAGAGCCAGAACCGACAATGTCCGTGGCGAGAGTGAATCGCCTTATGCAGGCGGAGTTGGATGACGGCAGGACGAATAGGATGGTCTCGAGTGCGCGACGCCATTGCCGTGTTCGCTCGACGTGACTGCACAAGCAAAGCGCAAGGCAGCCGTCTAGGAAGTACTCGTCGCGAAGCTGGTGGGGGCAGAAGAGGAATGTTTCTCTGCAGTGTCTCTTGAGCAGCTGCGTCGGCTGCTCAAGGAGAATACGGATGTGTTCCGTGTGGAAATGGGCTGCGATCCGCCTGTTAAGGTGGAGCTCCTGAAGGTTTGATTCAAGCCGGATGCGACACCCATGAAATATGGACTTCAGTGGTACCCGTCTCTCCACATGGAGTACCTCAAGGAGCATGTGGGTGAGGTCGAACGCGCCGGTCTCGTCTACCGAAACTACCGGTCGAGATGGGCATGAGCCCCGCGCATTATCCCCAAG